TTCTTTGACAGTTTCTTGTTTCATTTCTTTGATAGTGTGAGGGCTGAGATACTGCCTGGGCGCCCAGACCGAAGCTGGTGGTTGTCTTAAGGGATCACCCCGCGAGTCTTTGACATGGTGTCTTATCTGCAAGGCAGCCGAGCAGAGTCAGGAGCTACTTTCCCACAGTTACCGGTGATTAATACAGGTTCATACGCCGTTTGGATTCTGGAGCCTATATTCCTCGCAGTGACTGCTTTTAATCTAACTTGCTATCCAAACAACCTTCCTGACATAGTAAGACCTGCAAGAACATAACTCCCAGTAAGTGTAGCTTGTTGAGTCACTGCGATATTCGAGACCGACCACCACGACAAGATAGCGGTTGTTGACTGGGTACTTTGAATTCTGATCACATCAGGACTCTACTTTATCTTTGAGAGTCAGCAATATTTTCATTCAGAAGGCATATTCAATCCAAGTCTAATTGTTTAGTTTAAGGTATGCATTGGAATGCTTCTTTTCAACCAGTAAACAAAGCCATACAATTAAATATATTCTCGTGGTTGTTTGACTTACACAGAACAGACACAACCAAAAGTTTGTTGCGGATTCCTTATATCATCCGGCATAATTTTTAACTATACCATTATTTGTCCATCCTGCTTTTTGTAAAGCTTATTTTCTGAACAAAATAGCATTACAAATATTGATCACCTGCATCTTCTCTTAAACAATTCGTTTATTCTGCCTATCGTTTTGTTTTTGACAAGAGACATGTACATCAGGTGGCCTATATCCTCTTCAAAGTAAATTTAAATATGTTAAAAGTATTCATATGAATATCAGACTAAACTTGTCAGACAGATTATTACTAACCAATGTGATTTTTATCATTTACAAATGCACATACACAATATCTTACTTATGCTCATCAATGATCTTACTTCATTGACCTGATGACGTGAACTTTAGCTCTGATTTGTCAAGCTTCACTGTATATATAGTAACATATAATGCGTGCATAGACTCAAACTATAAATTTACAACAATTCCAGTGCTTATTATATTACGTGACTTTATAACAGCTGGACTTATTTCATCCAGTCATATCACTGATTGATTCAACTGTCATTATACTGAAAAACGGATTTATTGAAGTCAATAAACACCCGTCAAAGTTAGTATACTGAACTGAACACATTTCGCCTTAGCATATTCACTATAAAATCCTTATTATGATGGAGAGTCAATTTTTACCAGAAATTGATCCAGAATTGGATTATCAATACAATAATACAAATTGGCTTATCAAAACTAGAGAACCAGGTTGTTTCGGAGATGGTGCAATCAAACACCTTATATCACTTCTCCTTAAACAAAGTGAACTCTAAAGATCATTATTTTCGGATAGAGGTGTTTTCAGAGTTCCATTCAGTGACGATATTGTGCTTGAGGAAGATGGTTTTGGAGAATATTCTTTCGATTGGTTTCCCCCAGCAAATCGGTCAGTATTACCAGCAAATATTGTGGTGTATATTCATGGTGGTTATTGGAAATCTATTGGATGGAGAGAGTGTAGTCACTGGGCTCTTCCAATTGTCAATGCCGACTGTATTTTCGTTTCTTTAGCCTATAAACTAGCGCCCAAAGAAAAACTTGAGCTCATGCCACAATGTCTATGTCTTGGAATGCAAAAGGTTATAAACCTTACTCAAAAAATGTTCAACCAGCAGGATGTTAAGAAACTGAATATCACCTTAGTTGGTCATTCCGCGGGGGCTCATTTGATACTTGAAATGATACACCATGCTCAGAGGCAAGCTGCAGCAAATGAAAATTGGCTGACTTCTTTGAGAAATCTTGTTTTAATTTCGGGTGTATATGACCTGCGTCCAATCATTAGAACAAATGTGAACAAAGCATTGAGACTTAAATCAGTTGAAGAGGCTTGGTGTGTAAGTCCTATCCGCCATTTCACACAAGATGATGTAAGCGTGTTGCTGCTAAGACCACTTCACTGGCTTGTTGCTTGGACGGAATATGAATCACCAGCTATCCAGAAACAATCTAAAGTTCTAATAGAAATGTTAGACGAAGCATCAAAAAGAAACAAGCAGTTTACCTACGAATCGTTCTGCATCGAAAATGAAGATCACTTCACAATTATCCTAGGACTTCATAGTGGTTCGAATAGCAGTCGTATGCTGAAAAAGATCCTGCAGTTAACCAACAATACATACAACTGACGAACAAAAAAATTCATACCAACTTATGAAAGCACATTTAGCCGGAAATGGCACATTCTCTTCTATAAACTTTCCTGTACGATCAAATGGTATTACTATGAATTCAATAAAAGCCTCAATTCGATTCTATTTCCCCACCAACTACTATTTCATAAGATATTTCGTAATTACCATTTCGACATTTAATTTACACAGATTATACTGCTATTCTCATATATTAATTGGTTGTTCTTTTTAAATTACCATCAACTTTATACTTTTTTAATATTTTGTTGGCTTTTCGTTTTTGTTTGAAATCTTGTTCTATCAGTATCATTTTGAGTCGCCAAATAAATGCCTCCAGAAAGGTGGCTTCTAGTGAGATGTTTGACGTAGCTATTCTGAAATTACATTCCAGGTTGATGGTTGCCACCTACGATGTCCGTCTGCAGTTTGCAAATCATACAACTGGCCATTCCGTACGAAGACCCACTTTTGATGTATGTTGCACTGTAGGGACCTGCATAGGTCTCTACTACTCAACTCAAAACTACATTTCATGTGAACGGTTCTGGGGTCCCTGTGACATCGGATCTTACTTAGCTGGTGTCAAGGTCACACTAAGAGCTTGAAAAGAAGTACTACCTCACTTATATTTGTCTACGTGCTGTTAGACTAGAAGAGTATATTTGAGTAAAAATAACTAACCATACAAGTTACTTTGTAGTCATTTATATTTAGGCTGGATACAAATTAGGGATGAGGCCTAATATCTCCTAGACGACCTAAACTAACGCGCTAGACAAATATACCTTGGTAAAACTTGGATGCACAGGTTGGGCATCTAGGCGAGGTTGGAATATATAAGGTCAATGTGGACTGTCTTCTGCTTCTCTTCGCAAACTGAAACCTATTTCTAGTCAGTACAGCTACACGGCATCCTCCATCTGTCTCCTAAATAGGAAGAAGCACTACGTAATTACTTGCATTCATGTGTGACTGACAGTGGACCACAACAATTGTATGAGGACGGATATACTAGTGAACCACAGTTACTCAAATAGATCATACTGTTATAAGTTACCGATGGGGCGGATGTTCACGGACACAGGTGAATATAACGAATTGGGTATATCACTCACACACAAAATTAAATAATTCCCATATAAGGATCATGAGTTCCGGTGGTTAAAATAGGTGTGAGGTGGAAGCAGCAGCAGCAGAGAAGTTAAATCGGTTTGGAAACTGTTCCGGCTCACAACACAGAGCATAGTGTCTCAGAGAAGGTTTGTGAGGCAGTTGGTACTCCGACTAATAGCCCACAAAGACGCTTGGAATGCTGGGGAAGGGACTTTCGAAAATAATTTGACTGGCTAACACTGCTAGAACGCGATATTCCAGACACTTCTGCAGCCAGGATTGAGCAGTGGGCTAGGTGTCTGGCACGCTTGGGTCACTGTCTACAGTGTTATAACAAACTGTATAACTAAGGTGGTATAGTTCGAAGACACATTAGATTGTGTCACCATATTTCAGAATTATGCGCAGCAAATCCGAGGTGTCCTACGAAGACTAAAGCACAAATAATAGTCGGGTACAATGACCTCTTAAGTCATCTTAATATGTGTGTAAAACTTGGTCACTGTGGTAGTAAGTAATTCCATATTAGTTTGCTTATTAAATATATCACACAGTGAAACAATATTATTTACTGGATGACGTTTCGAACAAAATATATTCTTCATAATCATATCAATTGTAATCACACGACTTTGAAACTTCAGTTTTATAGTTTTCTTTGTTTTCTTCTATTTGTCGTATAGGTAGTAGAATTTTCCAGATATCGGGGACAGGTGATGAATCATTCCTATTGCATGTATTTGCAGTTGATTCGATAAACAAAGCTTCTGTTATCAATCTCTCCCTATACCCTGTGACATTAGATTTCAAAACTGTCATCCTATCCCATCCTATTGTATGGTTGTGTGTAATTGCATGTAGTGCTATGGCTGAAGTATTCTCTAGATTTCTTATCTTATTCGGTTGATCCGAATAGAGAATAGTTCAGCCATAGCACTACATGCAATTACACACAATCATACAATAGGATGGGATAGGATGACAGTTTTAAAATCTAATGTCACAGGGTATAGGGAGAGATTGATAACAGAAGCTTTGTTTATCGAATCAACTGCAAATACATGCAATAGGAATGATTCATCACCTGTCCCCGATATCTGGAAAATTCTACTACCCTCACGACAAATAGGAGAAAACAAAGAAAACTATAAAACTGAAGTTTCAAAGTCGTGTGATTACAATTGATATGATTATGAAGAATAAATTTTGTTCGAAACGTCATCCAGTAAATAATACTGTTTCACTGTGTGATATATCTAATAAACAAACTAATATGGAATGACCTCTTAAGACATTCATCTTTAATTTCGATGCAAAACAGTGCTTCAGTATCAAGGAACAAAAATTGTTTAGTTTATAGTCAGCAGTATTCGACATAGTTGGGATATTCGATCAGAGTAGCAGTCCATAAAACCACCGAAAATATTTCCAAGGTTACTGTACTATGTTATAATTACATAAACTAATCAAAATTACTAAACACTGTCATTTTTACAAAGTAAAAAAATACTCCGCACTAATGAAAGGTCTTATTTATAATTATATAAAATAAAAGTCAAAGTGTTATGAGTACGTTGGTAAAACGATTTACAGCTTGCATTTTGGATATCTATATACACCTTTTAGTAATACTGAAAGCATACTTTCGATTTACTGACAGCATCACTAATTCAAATTTTAGAATATGTTACTCAATTATCATTAAACACACAGACATAACGAAAATAAGTCTTTCCATATTACGATGCTGATCCAGTCTGCTGAAGATGCTTTATTACACTGACCCAATTCCAACCTCTAGGTAATTCACCATCTTGTCCCAGTCTGTCCTGTTGTTTTCTTTTTTGTGCTTTAGATAACTGAGGTTGTTTATTTAACTTATGTGACGTCTACAGAAAGGTTTCAAAATCAAATCGAAAGAGTTACAGATGCTTGGCTTGTTTCACTTGCAAGTGCATTAGATTGTGATTCTTCGACTTTATCACTTGAGAACAATTTGACATATCGTTCACAATTTTCTTTCAGGTATTCAATCAGTGTGAAAGTTAAGGCTGAGCCAAGTTGATCTTCTGCAAGGGATAACAATTCTTTGACGATTGTTTCCTTAACCTTTAATGGTACATGATTGTTATAAAAAGAATCCATAGAAATGCGAGGCAGAACATCAGGATAACCCATAGGCCAATGGATTTGTACAATGAATGAAGACGTTGCTCCTTGTTCACCCACCTTAATGTTTTTCCCTTCATGCAGAAAAGAGATCAAACCTTGTATTCTAGATTGTAACTTTTTGATATTGATAGTTCTTCTTCATCGAAAATTGATCTTAACACTTCTGCTTCCTCCTAAACTACAAATATTGATCAATAAAGAAAAGACAAACCTCTCTGGCATCATACGACGTCATTTTGTCTTGGAAGCAACCCACAAGGTTTCAATTTTCTGCAACAGAAATTGATGGTTTTAGAGGCTTTTATAGGAATCTTTCATTACCAGCCAAATAAGGGTTAAAAAATTAACCAGCTGAATATAATTCGATAATATGTATGTTGGTTAGAAAAAATGACTTGGCATCGTATAATTCCCACCGACTTACAAAGTTTGTAGTTCGTGTTGAAGATATTGTTGAAATGAACACATTTATCTTCATCATTTTTATTACGAAGTCTTTCGTGCATGTTCTTAGTACACACAATTAGATGACAGGTGAGCGCTTCGCATCTTAGCAACGTATTGTGTAAAACAAGAGAGCTTAAGACCTCCAGCAAAGTTCACGAGGATAATAGTCTCGACGTAACGTTTCTTTGACAGTAGTCAGAAACTGTTAAACTTAACAGTTAGCTGATAAAATTAATCAGGATACTAACAATGCATGACTTTAGACTCAGTGGATTTTACGTCTAAAGACGCTTGCATCAAAAATCTTCGTCAAGCAGTCAATTTGCTTTCTGTTTTAACGGATTACAATCAAAACATTGATCATCTGAGATGACTTTCGAAAACTCAGAGGAAAAATTGAACCTGCTGTTCGAGTTTATGGAGTATTTTGATAGTTTTGAATTTTCACACTAAGTCTCCCTTACATTTCTTGATTACGCAATGCGAACAGATTTTTTACCATTTATAACCTATATGGTTTTTCTGGTTACTCAAAAACTTTGACTGCGATAATACGTTTCTGTAGGACTAAACCCTCAATGTCCCTTGAGCTGTAACGTGCAAAAATTATAATTTGACATTATTACAAACGGCCCTTATTATTATTATTTCCTTTAATTCCTAGAGGAACATAGGGCTTCAGCCGTGCGTCTCCATTGCGTTCGGTTCTCTGCTAGAGTCTTCACCTGGCTCCAAGTCTGCCCACACGCTTTCATCTCCTTTTCACATGACCTCCTCCAAGTCACCCTTGCACGACCAACTCGCCGCTTCCCTTTCGGGTTTCACTCGAGCAATGGCTTGTCTAGTGATGTCACTTAATGGTTTCCTCAGAGTATGGCCAATCCATCTCCATTTCTTCCTGCCTATTTGTTGCACAATCGGTTCCTGGTTGGTTCGCTCCCAGAGGTCCCTATAGCTGATACTTTCTGGCCATCTGATCTTGAGTGAAGACAGCTGTTCATGAAGGTCTGTAGTTTATTTGAGGTGCTCTTTATGACGCACTAAGTCTCTGATCTGTATAGTAGTACTGACTTCACATTAGAGTTGAAAATCCGGATCTTATTTTTGACGCTGAATGCTGTTGACCTCCAAACAGACTTGAGAGTAATGAAAGCTTGTCTTGCTTTTCCGATCCTTGCTTTTATATCCTCGTCAGTTCCGCCTGTAGTTGAAACGATGCTTCCCTTATTGGAAACCTTTATTTCGACTACAGTCGTAGAGTTGGCATTAAATAAAGCCTTATTTCAAAGAATATAACACCTTGAATCCATTATGAGAAGAAAGGCCATAAGTGAATTCGAAGATACAAAAAATTACAAATGTAGAAGCTTTGTGGGAGGTTGGTTAGACTCAAATGAAAAATATATGGTAAAAAACACCTGCGTGTCGATCAGGTGAATTGTAATGGAACAGCACAGGCAATAATATATCAAGCACGCTGGAGTAAGACATGAAAAGCGGAACACAGACTCGGGTCGAAACACTTTATAATTACCAACCGTCTCAATAGAAGAAGTCAAAGTTATGTACAACAGAATAGCTAGGCTATAACTACTCAGCGACCATCGGGTTTTGAACTGACACCTACTGAATTTAACCCACTACAAAATATAACATCATTTTACCCGCGGCACCATTAGGATAAGCTGATTCGAACTGAGTAGTCAACTATTTATTCCGAGCTCTACATTAGTCATCAGAAGTCAATTACATTTAAATGACCCATTACTTGGATCCATAAACCTCAGTTCCTAACAATGGAATAAATCAAAGCTTGACCGAATTAATATCAGTAAAAAGTTTGAGCATTGTGGATTAGATCAAATAAAGTATAATTATATTTTAATAGTTTACACACAATGATAAGTTTTGTTATTGGTAATATTTCGAGCAAAATTACTGCCCGTGTTCACACCAGTGTTGGAATTGTTTGATTCACACATTTATGAATGAGCAAAAATAATGAACTATATATACGAGTACAAATCATAAATGTGTGAATCAAACAATTCCAACACTGGTGTGAACACGGGCAGTAATTTTGCTCGAAATATTACCAATAACAAAACTTATCATTGTGTGTAAACTATTAAAATATAATTATACTTTACTTGACCAAATTATTTTTAATCACCAAGAAAAGGAGGTCATATATTCTTGTATGTCATGATTCGTTAAAAGCATTCTGCACAACTGGTTTCAGTAAAAGCAGATTTGGTTACCATAGCCAAAATCTTGACAAATGTTATGCCATGAATTTTAAAATCTTCAATCAGAGTACCACCAATTAAAATTACATCGAATTTCCTAGTAGTTACCCAGTCGGTTACTTTTTTGGACCTGAGATATGTGGGTAAAAACGAGGGCAGTTTTCCGTTCAAATGTGGGCAAAGTGGGAAAACGTGGGCCCAACAGGAACGTTAATAAGTCTGAATACATACATGTACGCCAGTTTTTATTGCAGTACGCCACGCTCGATAAGTTGGAATTTGTCATTTTTCTTAAGTCAACGAAACAATTAATTCTTATTAGAACTTCACGTTGTAACGTGAATTGGTGGTCTCCAATATCCTATATCTTCCTCAGCATTAGAGATATCTTGGTCATAACTACTATGCAAGTGGTAAAATCCATAATTAAAGTTCCATTTTCATGTACCATGGCATAAACAGTCTTATTATTACTCCACAAACCCGAAATGACATTTTACTAAAAAATCTCACCTTGAGCCCGAATTCACCGGCAAGCTGATATCCAATATCCAATATCGTTTCCCGAGCTAGCATAAACCAATTTCATTTCTTCGTGCTTGCTTCTTGATTGTGAGGCAAAGGATTCTGGTCTTCGGTAAACTTCTGTGGCCAAGTTAAACTTTGAGCACCAATAACTACCACTGGAGTGCGACCACACTAATGACCTTGAAACACCCACTGAGCAAGTTAGTGAAATCCGGCAAATAATGTTGTCATTATCAATAAAATATGCTAATCGAACTGTTATGTTATTAAATAGGATATATAATAAGTTTCAGATTAGGTCCTTTCAAGAGGTTAGTTTAACCTAACAAAGGCGACAGTAGTCTTGATTCGAGTTGGATTACAGTTAGTTTAGGTATATGTTCTCGTTAGGATTAGGTTAAGGAAAGATAAGGGTTTTTGTAAGGGTTAGAAGCCCTAAATAAATACATGCATAGAATGTGGTTAAATTTCTCTGTTGATATGAGAATAGAACTTGTTCACTGTGGTAGTGTGTAATTCCATTGTAGCGGCAAATAATTCCCCAAAATTATTGACCACAGCAATCATCAGTGATAATCGGATGCTGACCCTCAATGTTTAAGTCGACTTGTTTAGCTGAAGGCTTCTGGTCAAGCATCCCCGCCATTTGGTACTCCGTCGTGTCACTTGCGTGCACGATCACTAGCCAGCTAAACATTCACTTCAGCTCGCGATTTGGTCCCGAAATATATTGCGTACTTTGAACGACCCAGTACTGTCTTTTGCTTTATCTTTGGTACTCGAAGAGCGAACACTATAGAAGTTGTTGGTATAAGATCTTGCGTTAGTATACTCCGTACAATTCGCGAACATCGATACCTTCAGCCTCTTAAAGAGGCACTAAAGAGACCATAAGAAAATGATGACATCGTCATGTTTAGACCTGATAAACGCTATGGAGTTGTTATAATGAATAAAACTGATTATTTACATGAAATATTGACAATTCCTCACGATCCCGAATAATTTCAGGTGGACAAAACTAAGAAGGATGCAGCAATGTCATTTGAAAATAAAGTAAATAAATGCCTCAAAGAACTCCTCACCAGGAAACTGATCGACAACAAAACTTACAACGAACTCAGTTCAAAAGGTGGGCACTTCCCATTTATGTACGGTCTGCTAAAAATCCATAAGGCAAATGTGTCCTTAAGACCCATATTATCAATGATAAACTCACCATGCCACAAACTAGCTCGATGGTTAGCTGATTCATTGGAGCCATTTAGAAATAAATTCGCATATCATAGCTTTGATGACATCTTCCGATTTCTCTAGGAAGTCGACCATGTTGATATATCAAATAAACTAATGGTGTCATATGACGTGACTGCCTTATCTACAAATATACCAGTGACGGAAACAATAGACATCATTTGTAAACGAACAGATCTCTTGCTATTACTGGAAACAGAGATGAAGCGCCTACTGATTCTTTGCACAGAAGACATCCAATTCAAATCCAACAACCAATTCTACCGACAAATTGATGGGGTCACCATGGATTCACCTCTAGCACCTATTCTAGCCAACATCACCAGTTATCTCGAACAGATGCGACTGAGTGATGCTAAATGAAACAACATACTCCACCCGATGTTTCGATGATACGTTTGTTCTTTGTAAAGACATGAGTCGTGCATCTGTATTGTTTAACCACCTTAATGAAACCCACCCAAACATTAAATTCACCACGGAATATGAACACAAAGACGAGTTCAATTTCCTGGACCTAAATATGAAATGAAGAAACGATGGAACGGTCGAAAAGTCCATCCATCCATCTTCGCTACGACAGCTTCTAACCTATAAGCTATAAGCGGGGATTAGTAAGTCATGTTCGCTTAACAAGGTAGAAGTAGAATTATTCTTTGTTGAAAAATGCCTTAGGGGAACGGGTATCCAAAGGGATTTATCCTAAAGTACAGCAAAGGAAAGGATGAGAAAGCGAAGTATCCAACAGTTGAAAGGAAGAAAGTGTTCATTTGCCTCCCATTCAAAGGAGAAGCAGTATCACAAAAGATTGACAAGAGGGTGGAAGGAGCAATAAAAAGATGCCTCCTTGCTCCTAAATTGGTGAAGATATACATCACTACATGCTCTATAAGCCAATCGAAACTCGATAAGTACCGTTCTTATATTACATCCAACTGCATTTATAAATTTACATGCACCTGTTGCAGCAAGCGCATTGGAAGGACAGAAAGAAGGGCTTCTGTCCAGTTTTTAGAGCATAGTATAAGAAACTATTGCTTAAAAGGCAGCAGATATTTACAAAGTGCAACTACCAGACACCTTGTGGATACGGGTCATTTTGTCGAGATTTCCAAATTCTTCAAAATATTGAACATTCAGCGAATTTACTACGATTTGCAGAAGCAAATGCAAATATTACTGTATAACACTGTGGGACTTTATCAAAATAAATTTTACCCATAATGGAAATATTTCTGAGTTATTTCATTTATTTTCACTTGATCCATGTCTGTTGTGAACTGAATGATCTTCGATATCTAATATCTTCACCATTCGATTTCCCATTTTTGTAGTATGATTCTAACAGAAGGTCTATAGTCATTCCCTCTATAATAATGTGTATCAGAAGTCGTGGGCATCAGATGCGTTCGGAGAATTCGAGATTTGAATAGCTCAGCAGGACTTTCATAGCTACTTGTATGTTCCGCATTGAGATATTGAAGTAGGAAGTTATCTACACATCTCTGTAGCTCCTCAAGATCCTTAGGATTCATTGATGCTATGGCACTCTTCAATGTTCGTACAAAATTTTCTGCCAACCCTTTAGAGTGAGGATGACGTGGTGCTGTGTACAGATTGTGGTGAGAGCTGTCTGCTAGCCAAAATTGGTAGACAGCAATTTACGTCAACGTTTACGTCACAAATCTTGGTCATGAGAAAAAACAAGAACAAAGACTCACCTTGAGGAACTCAACAGCCAATCACAGCAGACTTGGCGTGGAGGGATATGATTGGCAGGTATATCAACGGACTGTCTAAGAAGCGGCAACAAAGAGATGACAGAATAACCTTCAGCAGGAAAAAAAACCAATCAGAAGACGTCACTTCTCTGCTAACAATAACGAATAATGATATACATAAAAATCTATAAATATCTGTCGATTTTCTCAAAAGACGATCTGTTGCCTGACCCTTGTCTTCTGTCGTTACAAGATGACGACAACCTATATGTTTAAGCCGATCATTGAAGTTCTTCCCAGTGAAATGAGTACCATTATCAGTAACTAAAATGTCTGGAATTCCTTCTCGAGTGAAAATATTCCTCAAAGCTCTATGAGTGAGTTTCGCGTTAGGACTATCTGTAATTATCACGTTTGGCCATTTAGAATAAGAATCCACACTAACTAGAGCCTAGTTTGAATTTAAGAATGGACTACAGTAGTCCGCATGAATACGCTGCCAAACCTCGCAACACGCAGGCCATGGTTCCTACGATGAATTCCCATAGGACATTTCATCCAAACAGCTGGAACAGCTCTTTGATCTTTTGTTAATGTCAGCATCAATTTCCGGCCACCAGCACGTTAGGCATGCTAATGATTTCATCTTATCAGCTCTCAGATGAGCAGAATGAAGATCATCCAAAATCGCAGATCTTAATGTCGGAGGAATAATAATTCTGTCATTCAGATATAGAAATCCTTCAGGATGGACTGAAATCTCATCTCTTCGCTTATGAAATTCCGAAATCCTCACTTACACTGAATATTCAAACCTCTTTTTGTTGCATTTATAATGCATCCATAATATTTCCGAGTATCGTTTATAAGTCGACTCTATCCACAGGTAACGGCTGGACTAACAAACAATCAGTGTCATTAGCAGCATTTTCAAATAATGAATAACGAGATAAGAAGTCTGCATGAGGTATATCCTTAGCCGATCTGTGTTCAATAGTGTAATCTATGCACTTAGTTCTAAACTCCATCTTTGAACCATAGCAGCAGATGATCTATTCAAAGATTTTTCTGGATTGTAAATGAATTTCAAAGCCTGATGATCAGTAACTATGTGAAATTTAGTACCAAAGAGATACTTGTGCAAGCGTCTTATTGCCTATACAACTGCTAGAGCCTCTTTCTGGGTTTGTGAGTACCCTTGTTCACTCTTACTTAGACGTCGTGAAATACAAATAACAGGTTGTCCATTTTGCTCAAATACTGCAGCTATACCCATAGAAGAAGCATCTGTAGTGAGAACAGACATATCATTCGATGAGAAAGGTCTTAAGAAAGATTGTCTATTAAGAAACTCCAAAGCTTTTCGCAAGATATCCTCATGTTGTTGTTCCCACTTAAATTTTTTACTGGAGACAATGTCAAAAAGCGGAGATAACAGTTGAGTGAAACTGGGAATGAATCTGGAGTAAAACTGAAAAGTACTAATCCATGATCTCAACGACGACATATTATTAGGTGAAGGTGTTTGAATTAGAAGTGCCAAACGGATAGCATCAGGTCTGAAACCCTCAGAGTCTACTGTGTATCCTAAACACAATACAGACGACAAAGTAAAATGACATTTAGATGGATTAACAAGAATATTTTTCTCACAGAAACGCCTGAACAGTTTTAAAGGACGTTCATTATGCAATTCGATGTTCGGACCATGAACTATAATGTCGTCTTGGTAAGACTCAACACCATCTAATCCGTCTATCATCTGATTTATTACTTTTTGAAATATTGCAGGTGAGACGTTTAAACCAAAAGGTAAGAACTTATACTTGAACAATCCAAATGGAGTTTTGGAGGTTGAAGGTTTCGACGTTCGCGAATTGTACGGAGTATACTAACGCAAGATCTTATACCAACAACTTCTATAGCGTTCGCTCTTCGAGTACCAAAGATAAAGCAAAAGACAGTACTGGGTCGTCCAAAGTACGAGATATATTTCGGGACCAAATGGCGGGCTGAAGTGAATGTTTAGCTGGCTAGTGATCGTGCACGCAAATGACACGACGGAGTACCAAATGGCGGGGATGCTTGACCGGAAGCCTTCAGCTAAACAAGTCGACTTAAACATTGAGGGTCAGCATCCGATTATCACTGATGATTGCTGTGGTCAATAATTTTGGGGAATTATTTACCGCTACAGAGTATTAATGG